AAGGAGGCAAATCTTATCGCGTCAAAATATTCAGCAGCACTGATGCCAGCAATTGCTAACTCACACAACCATAGGTCTGCACCATTTTTTTTTTCTTTCAATAACTATCACAATCATACCTCCTTGAGACGTGCCGAAACAGTACGGATCTGTTCCTCATACGAATCTTCACGCTGTAAAGCTTTCTCTTCGGACACTTCAAGAGATTTCAAGTTATTGCCGACGACACGGAGCTCCTCTTCCAATTCCACAATTTTGCTGCACAAATACAAAACAACGATAACACGATGAAAAGCGTGAAAATGAAATTTTTCAATAGAAAATTTCACAGGAAAAAAAAGAAACTGAACCTGAGCAATGAACTTATGTGACACCGGTCCACCACTCTGGGCACTTGAAACATGCAAGTGCAACACACTGTTCCAGCATTCAGACAACACAACCACAACACAGATACTTAATAAGCAACAGCTGACAGCATCGCATACGTCAAGAGCCTCAGGGGTCAGAGGTGTTATCCCTCCTTCTGGTAAATTTTTCCAATTATTAAAATTTTTCGCCCGTGCGAAGATGCGTTTTTTGCCTAGTTCTCCGCATTTTTTGTTGCTATCGGCACCGACTAACTGAAAATTTTCTGACTGCAGAGGAAGTAAATGGCCAATCACGCGAATTCCGAAAAGGGGAGCACATATACAGTCAACTGATAGTATGTACTTCCTGGAGGGCTGAAGTTCAGGATTGGAAGGCCTGGTCAACCTGCGTTTGGTGTATCCAACCTGCCCGCGCAATTCCCCCCTTTTCTGCTTTGGCAACTTCGCCAGGAGCTTTTATTCCTATAATTACTTCAGCCTGGGCAAATTTCAGCTTCAACAAATCCAGATCTCTTTTTCTTCAACCGCTTTACATACCAAGGCGAGCATAAAATGCGCTTAAATACGCCCAACTTCAAAAAACCCACATCCGAATCACTCTGGTCAGATTCCATTGAGTAGCCACTAATATGTGTGCTGCATATATTTCTCGAGATTATCCTCTAGCTACTTTCTGATGTCCTTACATCTATGTGTGTATATCAATTTCCCAAAATCAATCCTCATTAATACAAATTCAGCAAAAGGTCATCGCTGTTTATTGGTTTTCCTCGAAATTTGTTTGTAAAACTGTGAAACACCAAACGGAAGCTTCCGCAAAAACGCAGATAGCGCAAGCAGCTAAAATTTCTGGCATACAATTTGGTCCGGTAGCTGAGAAGTACGAAAAAAAAGCATAATACGGTGGAGACATGCAAATGTGTGCCAGACCATCACTGCCACATGCACAACGCTGACCCCGGCTTGCATTTTACCTCTTTTATGCGATTTTGTAAGCTTTGCACATGATCCGAGAAAGAATTCTCCCGCTGCAAAGCACGCTCCTCGTGTACTTCCAGTGTTTTCAGATTCATGCCCACAGCAACCAGCTCCCGTTCCATCTCACGAGCTTTTCTGTTTTGTTTAATTCAAACGTTATTCGATTATTTCAAAAAAAAAAAAAAAAACAAGCAAAACCTAGTGCTCGGCAAAATCGGTAATACACGCACGCACAAATCCAACAGTATCCCAATTTCAGCTCCCGCAATCCAAAGATGCAAAAAACCTGCCGCATACATGCAAAAAATCACAATCTTGCCCCAAGCTTCGCACTCACATGCGAGAAAATTTTCGAAAATTTGAATTTCGAGTGTAAAAGTAATTTTTCCGATCATTTAACTGAAAACTACAAAGACAAAAAGAGTATCACGCTATCTGCAAAGGTAGCAAAAACTAAAAAATATGCACTGCGCTAGGAACTATTAAGTTTTTTTAAGTGCCAGAGCAGAAAGTCAAAGCTGTTAAATGTGGAGTCGCTAAAATGACGAAAAAGATGTCACGATTCAAAGGATTCGAAGATAATGAAGACAAGAGATTTGATACCCTCGGCCCAAATCCTTTGCAAAGGGACTCCACTCGCGATCCAGGAAGACTCCCCCACAAATCAATGTCAGCTGCATTTTTAAAAGCACTTCGAGAAAACTCAATCTAACCTAACAGATTTCACAAAAAAAAAAGGACGATTTTTCAAATGCGTGCAAAAAAAATTGCAAAAACGCTAAAGACACGGCAAGCCAAGTGAGGCACCTCAAACAGCTTAGGAAATCGCACCATTTTCCGCTGAAATAAAATTCAAGACAATCAAGAGGAACTAACTTTTCACCGGCTTCAGCACGCTCCTCAGCGCGTTCCAAATCCGCTTCCACCATTGCTAGCTTACGAGCTACCTAAAAATTTTTGTACAGTGTGATAAACAAAAAACAATTGTGGGTTGATTAATATTTAGTTTTGCACAGCAATAAAACAGACGAATAAAAAAGACTGTGACATTTGAAACTGATAAAGTACATGATAACAATGATAAAAGAATAATCACACAAATCTATCTTCTTTCGTCAGTGACTACGTTCGGCACAACACTGTTACTGAAAGGATATATCGAGAAGCAAGAATTATCCAAAAATATCGCTTTAAACCGCTAAGCCTAATTGAGGAATGCTAAAAAAATGAAGAAATCCAAGTCTGATATGCATCTTCCAGGACTCCAATTTAGCCAATACATACTAAGGTAAAAGAAAATCACGGGATTTATCAATGTAAAGGTCGAAATACATTTTGCATACTTAATTCGCAGTTGGGAAGTTCATTTTAGTAGCAAAAAAATTCTTTTTTTTGGTGTTGTACCCCCACTATGGCAGACGAAGGAGGTCGAAAGTTGTCGAACCAGTAATAACATACTACCAACAGCAACCACCCGCTAGCAAGTCTGTCGATGGCCCTTTCTTTCCCTCTTTTCCAAACACTATCCAAAAACGAAGTCATGGCGGATTTTAATTCTCTGATAAGCACCGGTGCCAATTTAGGAAAAAATAACTCACAAGAAGTGTATATGCCAAGAAGTTCCATTCCCTGTGGCGATGTATTTTTTGAGGGGAAAAGGGAGGAGCGGGGAGAGGGGAGAATGCTGGGGGGGGGGGGGGGGGGGGGGGGGGGGGGGAA